TATAAAATAAAGATATTTTGAACTAAAACCTAGACCTAAACTTAGGCGCAATTTTGTAAATTATAAATCTCTAATTTAAGAACATCTAATATTTAAATGGTAATATTTTCCTATCATTTTGGGTAGTGGTATAATTCCGCTCCACTCTAATTACTGTGCTATTATTTTTTTCCGATAATTTTGGGTAGTGGTAATATTTTCCTATTATTTTCTTATTACCGTGTTTTTAATTTTTTTTTTCCTTCTCCACTCTAACCACCCACTAATTCATCATGGTAGAAGTTAGAACACCATCATCTCAACCCCGTTACCAATTTTAGTCTATTAGAACTCATGCAGAACTCCCCCAAAAAAACACAATTTTTTTTGTTCGTCTTTTTCTTGCTCATTTATTTTTTCGGTCGTCTTCTTCTTCCTCACCAATATTTTTCAACGTAATCAATTATCTTCTACAGGTAAACAATACCAGAAGAAGAAGCATGAGTGGGAGGGAGGTTTTGTGAAGAAGAAACAAAGGGGTGTGACGGGTTTATGTTTGTGTGATATTGATTTCATTACAGATATAAATGTCATTACCTATTATTATTTATTATATATTTTATATATTAACCTTCGAGGTGTGTGTGTGTACCAATTGTATAATGAAAAATATATGCTACAATAAAATAAGGTAATAGTAGTGTAATTTGAATTTCACATATATATTTCAATATTATTTGATAGATTTTTATTACAATTTGAACTATCATTTATTTAAACAATTACTTTTTTTGCTTTTGTTGAATGCGACCTCGTGCAACGCACGAGCATGATTACTAGTATATAGAAGAAAGGTTTTGTCGAGAAACCCTAATCCCATTTTTGTGAAAAAAATTGTAACCCTAGTGGCATTTATGTCCGTTTACCTTTGTAAGTTAATTTGTCTTTTTTGTTTGGGGTATTTTTTTATAAACCCCCCACTCTAAGATTATATAGGTCCTACTCCAAGTCATAAGTCCTATTTTTCTAAACCTCCCTACTAATTTTTTTGGTTGATTTGCCATTTGCAGCAAAATAGGAAAATACCCTTTTAAATATAATTATCCACCAAATCAGTTTTTTAGCTAAAAAAGAGGCAAAAAAATCTCAAATCGTGAGATTGAAACTGCAAAACCTTACCTCTCGATTCTTTCAATTTACCCAATAGCCCTAATTCTCAAATCGACAGAAAGTGTTGTATATCTTCACACCACCATCGAAGGCAGAAACTGCAAAAACTCACCACTTACTTCTTTCAATTTACCCAATAGCTGTAATTCTCAGATCGACGGAGAAGCTGTAATTCTGCAAACCGCCACCGAAGGGAAAGATTTCCAACTCTCGTCCAATTGAAACATGCAAAAACTCTCCCCCCTTTCTTTCAACCCAAACTCTGTAATCATAGCCCCTTATTGTTGAGATCGATGGAGCGTCTGTAGGTATGGAAACCGAGAAGATGGCGCAAAATCGAAAACGTACAAGTAATTTGCTATATATTGCATTTTTTTGTAATTTTTTTTTAAATCGCGATTCATTGACAAAATACAATGGGTTTTTTATGAATGATGTGAAAGACAGAGATTTGGATCCTACGACCCCAGGTAATAACTTTGTTTTCTGCAAATAATATTTTTTTGTTTGTTTTTTATTTTGTTGTTTTTATGTTTATTTTGCACTTTGGTATTTATTGTGTATTTTGCACTTGTTGTTGTATTGTATATTGTATTTTCTATATTTCATTAAACTTTGGTGGCATGTCAATTTTTGCAAACCTTCTATTGTATTGTTGTTAGTTATGTTGCGATTTTGAAATTGTGTATTGATGTTTGAAATTACAATTGACACTTGGCACTTGCTATTACAATTGGCACTTGGCACTTGGCACTTGCGGTTGTTGTTTCAAGATACGCATTTCTCATGTTATTATGTGCAATTGATGTACATGGGTTTTATTGGTTGACTTGTTGTGCAAATTTTTGTATTAATTCAACAGTTGATTCGATAAAGGGGAAGAGAAAAGTAAATGAATCAGTGAGTCTTCAAAGGGAGGAAAACAATGATCGAATCAAGTTGAATATGTTCGCATGGGAGAATAATGCAATGCGGAAGAGCCAACATATGGAGATAATAAATCACCCCTTCTATACAGATCAAATCTAGTTTCAACTGTTCGCTTTTTTCGGCAATATAAATTTACAAAAAAACATATTGACTGCATTGAGCGAACTCCGCTGGCTGATTTTGTAATTACATTTATGCAGAGGAAGATCTCTACACATCATGTTCGGAAGTCGGCAAAAGAGGTGCACAAGATCCTACTTACTTACAACAAGGACATACGCTGATTTATTATTGGCGGAAAGGAACTTCAAATATTTCATATTGAGTGCCAATTAATTTTTGGCATAAAATGTGGTGAAGTTGGGATGCATATAGCCAATCCCAAAGGTTGTCGTAAACCGATCGGTGGCCTAGTCGCTAGGCAATTTCGCAATGTAAAGCGGCTGAACAATGCAGAACTAAAAAAAACCATCATTAGGTTGATTGGTGGAGACAGAGATTCAGATATCGAAGATGTGGCAAGGATCATCGTACTACATCTTATGGTCAATTTCTTCTTCACTACCAGTGGGGATTTCGTTCCATGGTCCTGGGTTGAATATGTGAAAGATCTGGATGGTACAAAAAGATAAAATTGGGCGAGAGAGATAACAATGTACCTTATGAATGCCATAGAAAAAGGTACCCTTGAGTCAGTTACAGGATGCAATATGCTGTTAATGGTGAGTATTTTTCAATGGTTATTACTGTCATATGTTGTGTTATAATAGTAATCATGTCCATATTCTTAAAAAAAATTGTTGTCAAATCATAGTATTGGCTGATCGAGAAGACAACACTAACACAACCTATGACAGTTGACGTTTTTCCAAGATTTAGAAAGTGGAACATCCAAACTATTGCTGAGATGGTTGAATCAAATACACTGGAATCAATCAACAAATTTATGGTAGTATTTGTTTGCATTTTATACACACATATATATATATATATGTTTTTTTTTGTGTTTTTATATATATATATATATATATATATATATATATATATATATATATATATATATATATATATATATATATTATGTTTTGGACTTTGCTGTTGCTAATAAAAAAATTATCCATTTTAACTTTTGCATCTAAAATGCTAATTTTACTATTACATGTTTCGTAGGTAAAATTGAATTCTTAGGGAGAGAAAAAATCTATTGTTATTTGAGTTATCTTGTGATTTATTATTATTACAATTTTGCATTTGCTATTATGTCTTTTCAATTAGCAAAGTGGTATTGTTATAATTTGCTATTGCTATTATATTTATGGCTTTTGCAGTTATCTTGTGATTTAACAAAATGGTATTATTCCAATTTGCATTTGTTATTATATCTATGGCTTTTGCTGTTATAAAATGCAATAATAATTAGCTCACATATTTTGGCGTTTATATATGTCTGTTTTGGTTGCTATATGATTTTTCATATAGATTGTTGGCCCCCTTGTTTTTAGGTGATTATGATTTTCCACTGTTATAATTGTTTGTACAGGGTCAAGATAGTGCACTCGAACCCACAATGCTTGAACGGGAACAATTATTCAGTACGATTATGGGGGAAGACTCCGACATTGCGAATGATTGTGAAAATGCCCACAATGGAGATGATGTTAGTGAGGCTGTCACACCAATTTTTGAGGAAACTGCAATGGATAAAGATGAAATGAATGAAGCGAGAATGGATAAAGTAACAAATGTGGTTCACAAAATTGCTTCTTCTTCTGTCAAAACTTGTGACAAACCATGTCAACTGGTGGAGTATGATGAAAGTTCTGCTAAACGCCAATTACGTGAAGCTGCCTTGAAGAAATATATATTATCATTGGATATAACAAATGCACGTTTAAGCAAGGCGAACTCAGATTGAATAAAAAACTTGAAGTTCAATCGAAAGAGTGCGTAACTTCGGATTCCATTAATGCAGGCCTCAAGAAAAAATTAAAATATGCTGAAGCAAGAGTCGAAGAACTAAGCACCGTCATCAAAAAACAAAAACGTGAGATTGCAGATAGTGTGGAAGAAAGGCATGCCTTGAATGCTAGGATGATTGAAATGGAAGGCCTGGTCAACACATTAAGTGAGGATCTTACAAGACAACATGAATTTCCACATACTTCCAGACATAAACATTCTACCGAGTGTTCAATGCAAAATGAAATAGAGTCTCTGAAAGCAAGAATAAAGGCGTTAACCAACGAGCTTGAACCTTCCACCAAAACAGAGAAAGAACTAAGGGCAGAATTACAAAAGTCAAATGAAAATAACGTTGGTGCAACAGTAAATACACAAGTTATGGATGGTGTGGCTTTGTTTGGTGTCGATCAACCTTCTTTCAGTCTCAATCAGACGCAACAAATGCCCAAGACGACTTTGGTACTTTATCGGCTACTAATCTAGAGTTGATTGATTTACAAGCGCAAATCAAACAGCTTCAAACAGAGAATGAAAGCCTAGAACAACAAATTGCTAGACTTAAGGGAAAGAAACACATATCAACGGATTCCATTAGGGGGGACAAAGACGATAATGGAGATAAGCATGTGCATCACGCTATTGTTGTCCTTCACGACAGTGATTTAATTGGTACCGACGACTGCAAAACAATGAGGAAGAATTCAACATACAAGCGCAACAGTGTTTATGATATTTTAATTGAGTCCGGTCAAAAGAAAGTGGAATACCTAGCCGAACATTTTCCTTTAGAGTGAGAATTAATCTATTTGCTCGCAACGTCAAAACAAACATTATTTTTTTATATACTAATAAAATATCGTGGTACAGGCACACATTGTGGGATGGCAAAAACTCCAACTAGGATGAACATATTGATCTGGAAGATATTTTCATATTAATGGAGGGTAAATCAATCACCCCTTTTTGTTGTTGCCGTTTTATTATTTTTTGGCATATGTTGTCTGGACAATGCAATTTGCATTGTCATACTGGGTTTGCATTTATTTATTGCAGTTTTTTTAACTCCGTAATTTGTTGTCTCTGAAGCACTTACAATTTATATTTTTTATGCAAACGTAGATTATTGACGCTTGCACATACTTGTTGACGAGACAACAAGATGAAGGGTGCTTTACAAAAAATGTCAATCCCAAATATTGCGGCCGTAGTCTGATATTCCCTAGTTTATTGTTGGTATGATTTAAACATGCTTACATAGTCTTGCCAAATCATAAAACAACTCCTACTTGCATTACAATTTCAAAATTTGTGTTTACATGAGAAATGCATACGGATGTCCGTAAAACCACTGGAAATGTTGGAGCACTTCCTTGTTGGAAAAATGTCGGTGAGTATCGGTACTTTATTTTTCCGCTAAACTCAGAAAAAGGTCCGATAGATAAGTACCCCCACTGGACATAGTTGGTGTATGATAAAAATATAAGCTCATGGAAGCACTTCAACTCGTTTCGTCCAAGGAAGAAATGTAAAGATCAATACTTTGTTGATGCTGAGGACATGATTACGTTCCTAGAGAGCATGGAGGACAAATTTAATTTGGGGATTGTAGTAGGAGCCGACACCGATTATGTTTCAACATCGCCGCAACAGAAACCAAAATCAGTTGATTGTGGGATGTTTGTCTTGTATATTGCAAGACAATTCTGCATGCAACAGCCGTTAGTGAAAAAAACTGCAGAAGCTGGGATCGCTGAACTCCGAAAAACTTTTGTTCATTTGTTCTTGAACGATGAAGACACTGTTGATTTTGATTAGAGAAAAAAAGACATTTACTTTGTGTTTTGCAGAACTATGTTTTTAAGTTGTGGCATTGAACTTTTGCAGGATATTGATATGAATTATAATCTAATATATTCCACATTTAGACGCTATCTTGTGTATTGGTTTTGATTGTGAATTTGTAAAATATTATGTGGTTCAGTAATTAGATACAAAACAATATATTTGAAGTTGGTTTTGTTTTATTCTATTGTTATATTTCGCATTTTGCCGTTAAAATTTCAATGCAAAAATTAAATGCAAAGTGCAAATAATACAAATTTGTTCATAAAAAATAGCAAAGTGCAAATGATAAGATTTTGTTTTATTTCCGAGTTCATTACATCGTCCACATCTTATTTTCCTCTTTATCTTCTTTCCAGTAGACGGTATCCTCTCCTTTTAGGGTCTTCCACGTCGAGATTTAAATTCAGGTGGGCCAACACAAATTTCCTCTTCGTTTGTACTGTGTCTAACAAACGGATAAATAGGGATCGCATAGCATTCCCTGTAATATTCAGCATAAAAAAACTTGTCATATGATTTTGTCGTCTCGTTCACCAATACACACACTGCATGAACACAAGGAAATCCAAGAATCTGCCACTCTCGACATCTGCAAGTTTTTTGCGCCAAGTCAACAACCATTGACGGGTTACTGTGAACTTCAAAAATATTGTCAGCGGCCTTCTTAGGCTTCCACGACCTGCCTTCAAGTTCAATATCTTGCAAAATGTTCTCCTTCTTAGGGCAGCACATAGATGACCAATTAGCTGCTTTATCTCTGCTCTAAGTCATATGTTTCATTAATTTGCTTCTAATTGCATCTATCATAGTCAAAACTGGTAGGTCGCACAATAGAAGAATTTACGAATTCCAAGATTCCACGCCGTTCGAATACATTTCACCGTTTATGTGCCCATCAAAATACGCATTCGCCCATTTATTATAAGGCAAGTCATTCAAGAATTTCACAACTTTGCTCGAACCAGTGGTCTTGAGCTTCTAGATCTTCTTATCAAAAGACATTTTTGAGAATTCAAATGTGCATGATACAAATTGGCCAACAATTGCCTCCCTATAACTGGTTGGAACCCCTTTAAATTTGTTGTTCAAATTTCCAGTCAAATGTCTGAGGCTAAATGAGTGAAAACAATCGGGAAACACGTTCTTAACCCCTTCTAGAATGCCATGTTGCCGATCAGAAATAAACGTAAAGATACGATCATCGTTAATTGCCTCCTTTACCAATGTTAAGAACCAAAACCAGTTATCATCATTCTCCTCATGAACTATAACAAATGCGATAGGGAAAAGTCCTGTAAAAACATTATCCAAAAAAATTGCAAAAGTTTAAGAACTAAATCATAATTTTGCTATTATAATTTGCATTTTGCTCTCAACAAAATTAATGGTTTGCATTTTTCATTTTTTTCGTTTCATGTTCTGCATACTAACCATTAGCAAATGACAACATCATTGGAAACAAATCATTGACAGCCAGAAAAAATACTAGATTATGATAAATTAAAATATTGCTATTGTAATTTGCATTTTGGTGCCGCCAAAATTATTGATTTGCATTAAGCAGTGTACATTTTTTCAATTTTTCCTTTCGTCTTCTGCATCCTAAACATTGACAGCTTAAACAAATATTGTCATCTTAAAAAATTAAAAAATATTTGTAAGCGATACAATCACTAACCATTATTAGCGTCTTTGGACACAGCGCTAAGAAGAATACCGCCGCATTTTCCCTTCACAAACGTTCCATCGATGAGTATTGTCGGCCGACAATCTCGAAAACCAATCAAACAACCGTTGAACGCAAAGAAACATCGCTTAAATGCCATAGGATCATGGTTGTACTGTAGATCAAAAACACTGCCTGGATTAGTGCGATCGGCTTCTTTAAAATATGATTTTATGGCAGAATATGACGATTTGTGGTCACCAAGAACAACTCCCCTGGCTTTATCAGTTACGTTCCAAGCGATGTTGTAAGTAACATCGATTCTGAACTTGTCTTTAACATGGTTTACAACATTTGTAGGTGTCATTTGTGGCATGATTCGTATATCACCAACCATCAATTCACCAACAATTTGTGTGCTCGTCCTATTTTTTTTCGAAGGACGAAGTGCAACACCAGAAGTATGCAATTGATTAAATATCCTTATGTAGAAAAAACTATTAATTTTGTTGGCAGAGGCATGGATTCTCCAGGAGTAGTTCTTAGATTCTTTGAGTTTGCAAACAGCTGTCACCCTATTCCTTTCGTTCTTCACATAATCAAACTAAAATCCATTTTGATAAGCAAATTTGACTAAACATTTCCTAAAATTCTCTACCCCCCTTCAAATATTTGCCCCACGTCTGTAATTAAGTTACTCCAATTTGAACTCAACATCACCATTTGATTACGTGATCCTTCTGATGCAAGACTATCCATCTTTGGATTTGCATCAAGCGTCGACATTTGGGTTCCAGTTGGATATTCAAGAAAATATGGTGTTTTATTTAACATTACACCATCTTTCAACTTGACATTAACACAAATTTCATCAATCACAAATTTCTCAACATACTCCATCATGACGCCAACATCGTCGTCATCTGCCAACATACAATCCCCGTGATTTAACAAATTGTATGTTAACGTAAAATTACCAGGACATAAAGTACTCCACTTCAAGCAAACAAAATTAACTAAACACTTATATCTCGAAGCACCCGACACTTTTTTTACTGCTACGAAACCATCGAACTTAAATACCAATTTAATTGAACACGGCAAACTGCATAACGAAATTAACAAATAAAAAACTCAAATATGCTATGGATCGACCAACAAAGAAAAACGATAGTAACCAACAACAAAACAAACCTGTTGACGTAACTCCTCTTCATGTTGATAGCAATACGAAAAACAAAAATATAACTAATTGCATTAGATTTCACGAAACTAAAACCATACAATTCTAAGATCTTATAACGACGAATGAGTTCTTTAATTCTACCACGTCTGATAAACACCGATATTTTTTTTAACCCACGTCTCATAACTCCCTTCCAAATCTTACAACGTGATATTTAGGATTTATTCAACGTAATTTACTGAATTAAATGATTCCTTAATTAAATAATTTATTGTTGAAGGGTGTTTATGTCCATAGGCTTATAATTTTAATTCATTTAATTAAAATTTTTGGTCAAAGGGCCTATAGCTATACTAATCTAACAGATTGGACTCCTAGCCATATAAATTTGAAATAAGGGGAGTATAGCTAATTATCCCTTTTTGTTTCTCCTTCGTTGCACGAACAAATAAGTTTCCTTTGTTTTTCCTCTTTAGCCGTTTTTTCTTCATCCGCGAAGAAAATAACATTAAAACTGTGTCTCCTCTCTAGTTGTAACGGACTAACGGTTGTCTCCACATTCCACAAAAGGTTATCTTCATATCTCACGTTTCTTTGATGTATATTTATTTCTTCCTCATCCTACTACCCTCTTAAGCAGAACCAGGTTTTTTTCTCATCAGGAGCACATGAGAAGCTCTTCTCAGTATGTGGCTTAAGTTTCTTTTCTTCAATATGAAACAATTATGTATAAAAATTACAAAGACAATGGCCGAAATGCAAAAACGGGACACAGTGAAAAAAAATACTGATTCTGGCTCTAAAATTGTCTGAAACAAATTCAAGCTTTTAACTTTTCAGATTAACGTAAGAATCCAACCAACGGAGTATGTTACTATGTGATTTTTTATTTTTTAACTTTTCTTTGTCGGATTCATTGGATAAGTACTTTGATTATACGTATGACCAGCACATGTGATTTTATTTTAATTCAGTTTTTTCATATATTATTGTTTGAGTTTACGAAGATTAATTAGTTGAAGAAACTGAAAATGTTGAGTTTTTACGTAACTGTGATTTTTCCAATGGAGGTAGCCACATTGTTTGCGAAGAATCGTCTGCTATCTGAAGTAAGTTATACTTTTCAATATGCATAATTAAACTGGGAATTTTGATTATTCGTTTTCCAATTTTGTGGTTGTAGTAGTTATTTTGTTAAAATATTGCCCTTCTCATAATTGTTTCAGTTGGAGGTTCACTAATTTTTCCCCCTTAAATTGCTTTGCAAATTCATATATATATTTTTTTTATCAGAGATATGATGTTTTCAGATTTATGCAGTTTGTGGTGTTGGAGCTGTATAATGTCAAAAGATCTTGACAACCTAAGATATTTTCTGCAACATTCTGTTTTTCTATACTTCATCTTAATTTGACTGCATGATTCATTTTTTTTAGAATCCTCGAACCAATTTTGCAGAGATCATTAAGAGATCGGGTTGTTTCATTAAAGAGAAAAAAAGATATAAATCGTTCCTCACCATAATGGTTTCCTACTATCATTCATTTTTTCGCTTTTACTCGATAATATAGTGACACCTTTTGCTTCAATATGTATTGCTCTACATCACAAAATTCAATTTTAATCAACATCAGTACACAAGTGAGTAAATCACTATGGTGAACTCAACTCTTCTTCTGTTATACTTTATACATAATTACATATTTTCTGCTTATATTTTACATTATTATACATTTTTCACCAACTTGAAATATTTTTTCAATAGGTATTGCTCTTTCTTTGGACGACAGTGTTCAATTAAAATCAACAACAATAAAGGGTGAGTTTCCAGAAATGATTACAACTTCATAAAAATATTATTTCTAAGTGATTTTTAATTTTTCTACATTATTCAATTTATATAAATTTATTATATATTGCTCATACCAACTATTTGCCTAAAAACATAAAGATTGTCAATGAATGAGGCCAAATTAGAATTATAATTCTTATTTTCTGTAAACTTTTACAATTTTTGAACGTATTAGTGATTTGTTATATTTTTTAAATTTTCTTCAGCTGCTAATGATTTTTGACAGAGTAAAGTTTACGTTTGTAGTTGTAAGAACCTTACATCTGCATATTATTCTGTAAAATTGTTTTAACTGAATATAAAAGACGTATAAATAAGTGTTGTGTTCAAAGATTACTACATGTGGCAAATGAAATTTCCTAATATGTT